GATCGCAAACCGCTTATTTTTAAAAGACTTTTTTTCAAGAGATAACTAGATAAAATCATTAGACATGTTTCTGAGCATCTGAAATGGAATTATAAGGATATCGTTAGGGTGTCTTTTTTTTATAACGAGAAAACATACACATCACATAACTGTCACAAAGAAAATACAGCAGAAATATTAACAAAGTTGTTGAAAAAACTACAATCTATTATTTCTAATAGATTTCGAGATATCGATTTTTGAATTCAGAGTTCTAATAGCGCGACCACTATCGAACACCCACGCAAGTCCACTTATTTTTACCAAAAATGCAAGTGTTTCTAGCTTGCGCTTAAAAAAATTCAAGCTATAGGGAAAATTACAACGACTCGTTAATAAATAAACAAATCAAGTATCACGAGACGTAATTAAATCGTGAAGCTGAACGCATGACGTACACCTTTCCCTAGAACTTTAAGTACTGACAGAGGTATTGACACAGAATATACACCATACAGAAGCGACAAAGAGCTTTGAATAGCATTGGTCAAATGGGAACTAATTGCGTGACGTCACGTTTGACGTCCGTGCGCCTTGAACAGCATTTCACACTGAAAGAAAATTGTTAGATTTTAATAGAAAACGATGAATGGCAGGTTTATTTAGTTTTTAATAACTAGAGGGATTTAAATCAGTATTTTTATTTAGAATTAAAAATAAATAAATAATTATGAAATATATTTTTTAGTCTTTTATGCATAATATCTAGAAATAATTATACCTGCGGTCGTGAATTTTTTTTTGGTGTATAATTCTGTGACGTTACGTTTGACAGTTAACCAGCATTATCCCCTCCTAAAAATTTTGAAGCAAATCTCTTTGTCGCTTCTGTATGGTGTATATTTTGTGGTATTGATTGGGTCGACCGGTCAACTGCGACAAATCTGCTATAACCCCTTCCACGTCTCTTAGCGATGTGCACAGTTTCTCGGTTTATTTCATACGTTTGGCAACGTGTTTACTGTTCTCTCTTTGTTCAGTACATTATAAACGTATTGTACTCTTCTTACATACGGAAATCTCGACCCAAAACTAATCTTTGCCAGCCCTTAGTATGTACTTGTTATGTGCTATACGTCGATACTAGTTTTGTACCTTTTGTTAACGTTTTAATAGGTTTTTTTAACGTCATAACATTTATCAAAAATATAAATATCTCTTCAAGCAGCTAAGTTAAGAAAAATATATTCCACGGCACTGTTTGGTGGTATGGTAACAATTTGGTGTCGGGTGTTATTAGTCCTTGTATTCTTTAGTCATTGGTTCGTTCAACTGAATCGTGGCCAGCGCGGATCCATAAAATTTGAACTTACGAGTCGTGAGAATTGAATCGGACCACAAGGCGACTCGTTCGTTTCTACGGTTCGTTTGTTCAAAGAATCGTGAGAATTGATTCATTGGCGAAGGTGACCTGCTGGTAGTGAATAAGCTGTGGTTGAAAC